TGTTACATTGTACCAAACAAGATAAACTCAGCATGAAGCAAGTGAAAGAATTACCACCATTTCCATCCAAGCCAAACAGTCAGTGTTGTGCAAGTGGACAAAATATGGCAACTGAAATGCCAAAAGGGCGTATTAGCTGCCCCATCTCAAATTTATATAATTCTTCTAAAAAAAATATGTCAATTTTTTTTTAAACTATTCAACGACAGGGCGGTGTTGGGTTATATTTCATTACTCATTACACAAATATGGACATACCCTTAAAGGTAAAGGTAGAAGAGAGTTGAAGTGGCATGACACTTTTTTTCTTTCTTCAATGGCATTTGACTTCATAATGTCCGTCCTCCTATGGCTTCGCTGGGGAGGGGTCGTCGGAGGCGGCGGTGGGAGGGGGGGACGAGGCATTTTCGGGGCTAGCAGAAGGTGAAGCGGGGCAGGAGGCAGGGGATGGGAACTCTTTTATGGTGACGGTGACGAGGTTGGTGGTCACATCTGTGACCACTACATCCTTGCAGCTCGGAGCCATTTCAGGGTGCCAGTCGGGGTCTCCCTCAGCGGGCACCCTTGGAGGTTCGGCGGGGGCAGAGGTTTGGTCCCCAGGAGCGGCAGGGGAAGGCGCGATGGGCAACTGGTGTTTAACCCTGCACTGGCGAGGATTTTTCCTGCCTTCCTCTGAGGGCACCGTACGGTCCGGAGCGCCCTCGTCCTCTTCGTCTTCCAGGGAGGAAGAGGGAGAGGAGGGGAGGAAGGGGGATGATGATGATGCAGCCTGGTTTGCATCTGAGGACGCGGCAGGGGTGGAGGACTTGGTGCTCTGGCTCTTCTGAGTGTCTGCGTGAGGTTTGCTGGACTTGGGATCCTTGCTAGACGGCGAGGCCCCAGTGGAAGGCTGAGACTGGGCAGCTGTAGCATTGGTAGGAGATTTTCCTTCAGACCCACTGGAGCTGGAAGGAGAAGGAGGTGCCTGGAACTGAGAAGGGCTGGTGCGGCTTTCCCTAGCTCCTGTGCTGGAGCATGAGCCTGGGTGGGAGTGAAAAGGCACAGGTCCTCCGCACTGCAGCCCGAATGGCTTCCCGTACATCGGGAACCCCAGCATCTTCAGAGGAGGCTGGAAAGGTCTATATGGGGCTTCCCTCTTCTTCCCAATGATGCGATTGCGGGATGGGATGTTCTGACGTCCCGCTGAAATATTCCGACCCCCGGCCGCTGTGCCACCCCGGCCCGCTTTGTCGATGACCTTCAGATTGAGGATGATTCGGCCTCTCTTGACTTCCCGGGGTTTCACCCTACGGTTAAGGATGCGGACGGTTTCAGAGAAGGGAGAAACGTGCATGCGGGACGGGAAGCCACCAGGGTTGGAGAAGGCGGTCGCCATGGGGTCTGTGCGAGGCAGAGGGCGCCGGGACATCCGGTGGCAGCGGTGAATGTCTTTCTTCAGTTTGTGTGTGGCCGCAAGGGAGTTAAGTTTAGGGGAAGGTGCGACAGCCGAGCTGGAGGACGACGGTAAAGGATGCGCTGAGGCAGAGGAGGAGGAGGAAGCTGCCCGGTTAGAAGTGGACGAAGTAGGACGCAAAGTGGTCTGGCGGGTGTTTGAGGCTCGGCTGCTGCTCTCTCCTTTCTGACCGCGAGCCTGCGAGACAAAGCACATTTAAGAAACCATTTTTGTAGAGTGAGCTTTCTGAACCTCTAAACACGTTTACTGAGTGATACACAGCAACAGCAGCCACTTTGAGACATTTGGCTAAAACATCTGGCTCAACTCCAGCACCTCGGCGTGCAGCTAACCATGGTAGCTCTTGCTCTGCTCTTCAGCAGTGTGTGAACCAGATCTCCTCCAGCTCATTCTAGCTACAATTCTGGAGGGTGGAGCTGAGACTATGTAACCACGGGCACTCACTCAAGTTAGTTTTTTTTGGCAACACTAGAGTCACAATGATTTATATCAGCCATTAAAATGCTTCTTGGATGACAGCGTTGTAACTAATGCCTCAAAAGTGCACACTTTCCAGCTAATTTAGCTTATATTAGACTAAAGTTAATTTGAGATCAAAAGAATTAAAATGAACTAAATCAGCAGTTACAAAGAGAAGTTAATGCACCCAACACCACAAAGTTTAGCCGTGCTGAATGTAACTTCAGTCAGAAGTGTCTCCTTTGTAACTCCATTTATTGTTGTTGATATAAATGACCCCCCCACCACCACCACCACCACCCTTCACACGGCTTTCTGAAAGCGTTTTTCTGTGACCAAAGGTTGCTGCAGCATGTGCCTCAGGTGAAATGTAGCAAAGGACAAACGCGTCCCTGCAGCTCACGCTTCTTTTCATCTCATTTTCCAAAGACAAAGCATGCACTGTATGTAGATTTAAATAAACTTCAGACACCGTTTGAGGTTCAAGTAGGTTGACCTTTTTCTCAGCTTTAACAGCAGAAACCACAAACAGAATGTTCCACTTTCCTGCAGGGTGATGCAAACTGAACAAAGGTACAGATTTCAACAAAGCTGCAAATTTAATTCATGCAAACTAGTCATAGTTTCCAGTCCACTCGTCAAAATTTTAAATATGATTTCAGATGCAGCAGCTCCTCCCTGTGGAGGAGCATAAAAAAAAACGGTACCTTCATTACAAGGTTCTTGGGTTTTGGTCCCCTTTTCTTTGGCCCGTGCAACTCTCTTTCCCGCTCTCTAAAAAAGAAAAAAGTAGTGACAGTTAGAATGGCATTGACCACAAATGAAAAGACACACACAACAAAAAGAGAACGAGAGCAAATAGAATGACTCAAAGGAGATGACAGACATGAAAGCTGTGGGTGAGCGTGGGCAAAAAGAGCATCTCTGCAGCCATGTCAGAACACAGTTAGGTTTCCTTTAAAAAAAAAAAAAAATCTTATTCTTTGCTCTTATTTTCATCAGGGATAATGGTGAAGGAGGACAGGAAATGTAAGAGCCAGCGAAGAGAGGAATGACATGTAGCGAAAACACCGTTTCAGTCATTTGTTGTATCCCCTGCCTCCCATTAAAAGTTTTCTGATACTTGAACTTTACTCTAAACATTTCCATGAGCAGCACGAGCATTTCTAAGAGCTTGGCAACAGACAAAAAGAAGTTCGGTGCAGATTTTTTTTTCAATTAGGCAGCAAAGAGGAGGAATGTAAAGACACAAAAGGGGGATGCGGGGGGATGAAAGTATGAGTAAACACAAGCACTCAGAGGAAGAGACACTGGACATAATTTAAAACAAGAACACATGATAAAAAGGTAAATGGGGGCAGGGGGACTGAGCAGACATGCTTTAAACTTTTCAAGATAGGAGCCAAAATATAAAAACAAGCAAGAGAGAAAAAATAAATACAGAAATAAAAATCAAGACTGATTACTCAAAGCACACGCAGGGCTCCCCATGAAGCAGCTACACTCACTTTTGCTCAAACCCCAAAATCAGCCTGTCATCCAGGATGTTCTCCTCCGGCTCCCAAGTGCTGTGCCTGAACACAAATGCAGCAACATGAAGAAAAACGCGTGCATTCATTTTTGCTCCAAAGCACAGTTAATGTGCATTTTTCAGCTGAATCGAACCAATGCTTGTGTCACATTAACATTGTGAATTCAAGGCACTCACTTCATTGCCCATCCTTTCCATTTCACCAGGTATTCGAGCCTTCCCTGAAAGAAGAAGACAAATGTTAGAATTACTAAAACAGTTCATATGAGAATAGATTTTTTTAAAAAGGAAAGAAATAACAACATTCAAACACAGGTTTTGAGTCTTTTAATTACAAATGGGATATTCTTGCCTTTACACCAACATGGAAACAAAACTCCACATGCTGTTAATGCACAGCAACACCAAATCTACAATGCAACTGAATGCACTTTAGCACATTTCAGTCCAAGTTACAGAAGATGACTTCATTTCTTTCACGTCTCCGCTAGGGTTAAATCTTCCTATGTTTTATAATAAGATCAAATACATTTCACGTTTGAGTATCGTTTATGTGAAATCTACGTTTGTTCGTGTGTTGCAAGTGTTTTACAACAAGAAGGATACGCTAAAAACTCCAAGCAGGGACTTCTGAAGCCATTGGAGGCACGGTGGGCCTTGCTGGTTAACTGTGTATACCGGCAACTTCAGAAGGCAACATGCCATAATGGACAGAGTCTCTTACATGCAAATACTGAAAACACATTGGAAACTCTCAAAAGTCCTTAATCAGCTATGGCTGAAGACTTCTTTCCCATCACCGGCGTATGAGAACTTGTGCTTCTGCAACCACCTTCATAAGTCGCACGAGAAAGTAACAAAGTCAAGCTGTCGTTAATGTGGCTGCTACACATAAACTGGGCTATGAACCGCTGACTGTGACCGTATAGCTTTAGCTACCATTAGCTGGCAAGCAAACCAGGCCTCTCCGTTTCACAGCACAGTCCACAATACCATCAGCGGGGCTAGCGTGTCTTTGCAGCCACCCCGTTCTTTGTGTTGTTGTTTTTATTGCCCTGTCGCTGCCTCAATGTCCGCGCCACGAGTCATAAGCCTCGCTGCTCTGATCTAGCTCGGACTAGCAAAGTAAAAGCAAACGCATGAAGGCCTCTGCAGTATTACATAGGCGTAAGATGACAGCCCTGAGCCTATGGACTAAAGCAGTGCCGCGCTGCCGACGGGGAACATCTGCACGTAGTCAAAACACGCGGGACAGTGGCGGCTGTAGCTCACCTTACGGACGCGGCGTTTAAGTATGGCTTCCGCGGCGAAAATGCGATCTCCCGCCGCCGAGAGCTCCATGTTTCATACCCGAACTGAGCTACCTGTCTCGGTGTCCGTCTCTCCAGACGACAAGCTCCGCTGTCTGCACGGATCGACCAAACCGTGTGAAGGGCTGCACACACACGGAGACAGCACAGCAGCAGCGGCGGCGGTGCGACCTATCTGGTCGCCGGCAACCCGAGGAGAAAAAAAGCCCGCGCGGCTCCGAGCTTTAAACATCAGCGTCAAAAGACACGAAAACCCGCCGTGTTTATAAGGTTATTAACGTTAATTAAATTATTACAGACCTAATTAGACTTCATACATATGTTTTAACACCGAAGGTCATCGGAATTTTATATTGCATTTATATTTATATTTCATAATGTTAACTGGTTTAATAATATTTGCTTTATTCAAGTATTCAGTCACACATTTCAACCAGTGGGTAATTTAATCAATGGCTCTTTTCAAGCGTCCCACAAAGCCACGAAAATTGAAAATGCCCTTCTATGCCATAAAATTGACAAATTTTATTTACATTACTTTGTTAAACATGTATTTATTTATTTAATCATTTTAATCATAAACATAAAATAAACTTTCGGCATTTGGTTTGAATGCAAAACATTAGTCCTCCAAGTTAAAAATTCCCTCTGGTTTAAGGCAAGAAGCTATTTATGAAACAACTATTAGTAGTAGGGGGGAAATCGATACAGCATCGTATGGCAATATTTTGCATGGCAAGATAGTATTGATACAGGCTCAGAACATACTGATATTTTATTAAATCACTTAAAAAGTCGCTGAATGCTAGGAACAAGAGTGCTCATATCATCCAACATCATCCTGAGATAGCATTAGCTGAGCAAACTCACATTAAACGGGCTTAACCGAAAACTCCTCCAACACTGGACACACTTAGCTTGATAAAGCTTCATCCTAATTCAGTGCAAACTGATGGCTCAGTCACATAAGTAAAAACAGCACAGCAACATTCTTGCATCTACACAAAAAAAGACTGTATGATTGGTGATTGTATTGTTTTGTTTTTTTCTATTCTGTACTGATTGCAACTTGTGGTGATTACCTGGTTGCCCATAGCTTGACAAGTTTACACTTTCACGGCCACTTTGGCTCACAAGAAGACTGCACAGGTCACCTGATAGGTGGCGACCTCTCTGCAAACAGTGCAGTCTGCTTGGACTGACTGTAATCACTCTAAGAGAAATTGCTGAAGTCTTGCAAATGATTGTTGTCAAAGTTATAAATGCAAACAGATTGCCAACATGTTGCCATCAGTCTGAATGAGTCTTTGTAAATGAGCACAATATAAGGGGACTCAACCCATCTGTTGAACTCAGCTTATATAGAACCAGAAGGTCAAAACTAAAGGATGTCATGACCTTGTGAGACCCTCAAGGAATCTAAATCTGACAGTTTGGAAACATGCATGAGTGTCCCACCGGAGACTCTTGCAGTACTCTTCCTGTTCCTCCTTGCGCAAAGGAGCAGACACCCGTGTCGTTGGTGGGTTGATCCAGCTCTCCTCATGCCTAATGGGATCTCATCTACACTATTAAGACTATGGAGACCCAGCAAACCTTCTTGTAGTGGCACGTAGATAGACCATCCTAAAACGGGAGCTGCGCTACCTGTGCAACCTGAATGTGCTGTTGTTCTACCAGCAGTAACAAGGACACTAACAAAAAACAAAACTAGAGAAAGATCAGTCAGGAAAGATAAGGAGAGGGCAATGATCTATGCCCACCTGTAAAACCATTCCCACACCCTTGTTGCTGCCTCTCAGTGGCTTGTTATTCCTGAGAGGATTAACTGATATCCCCGAAACTTAACTGAGTTACTGTTATAATGTGATAATCACAATGTCCCTTAACTTTTGGTTTTTGTTTTTTTTTGTGCAATGTATATGTGACTGGTTTGTGTTCAGTATTGCGTAATTGAAGGAGTGTTGTTAAGGGAGGGACAAAGCTGACTTTGTCACAATTCATTCAGCTTGTTATTGTACTGAAAGACTCAGGGCTTTCAGTTTAACTCGTCTGATAAGTACACCCTGTTGTAAGTGTTGAAAACTCCCAAGCTCTAAACTCTTCTTCAAACACGATCATGTCTCTCATAGAAAAAAACAAAACAAAACAAAGATGGCAAAAGCCAAAATGTCACGAGGATTCAAAAACAAAGGAGGCTGGTGTGAATGTCAGGTTTTTCTGGAAGGAAAAGCAAACAATAAGAACAGGTCACTGGTGTGATAAACATGCTGTTTTGAAGCTTACTCAAAGCCAAAGAGCGGTTCACATTTTATGACACAGTCATGGTACTCTTAAGCTTCTTGTGGGGTATGTTTTACAATAGCATTTGCACCAAGGACTTGCTGACAACTAAAACTGCATAATAATGATAATAATAATAACAGTTTTATAACACGTGACTGTTATTTGGTAGCTTATATTCAAGCTAAACTTTCCTTTACATCAGTCTGTCGTCTCGCCTTTAAGGGAGCCTTGTTGAGAAAAATGAACAAAATGGAAACAAAATTTTTTGATTGAATTGATTCTAACAAAAACTTTCCTTGCAAACCACACAGAAGTTAGCTGCAACACAGCTGAGCTTCACACTCCCATTAACAGGGTAAAACCTATAGAGTGGTAGGTCATCAGACCTCTGTGGGATGAGCAAATCTGTTAGTCAACAGGAACATCCTTAAATTCCACGATGTCCCCCAAAGATGGAGCAGTGGATCTTTTCAAGACTGAGATCAGCAAGCCACTGAAAATGGGTGGGTGGGGCACCAGCCTTCCATCTCATCAAAATGGCACGTCTAACCACGAGGGACCCAAAGGACAGCACCCAACGTTTTGCCCCAGTGATATACTTATCATCCTCACCCACTGTACCAAAGAGAGCAAGTAGGGGGTTGAGAGCCAGTTTCAGGTCAGTAGCCTTGTTCAGAGTGTAGAAAACCGCCTCCCAAAAATTTACCAAGTCAGGGCAGGTCCAAAGCATGTGGGTTAGATTGGCATCATCAGACCCACAGCTGTTACAGCGAGGGATAGAGCCAGGATAAATCTTAGCTGATTTGTATTTAGACAAGTGGGCCCTATGAACTACTTTGAATTGTAATAGGGAGTGGCGGGTGCAGAGTGACATAGAATTTACCAGAGTGAGGACTGAATCCCAAATGTCATCTGACATAGATATACCCAACTCCTTCCCCCATGTGGATTTCAGGCCTTCAAAGGGAGCTGAAGTTATCCTGCACAGTTTGCTATAAATGCGGGAGATTATACCTTTGCCTGATAGTTGCAAACTAAGGAGCTTGTCCAGTAAGTTAGTAGCTGGAGCTTCTGAAAAACTGGAGAGGTTGGATTGCAAAAAATGTTGAGTTGTAAATATCTAAAAAAGTGAGTTTTGGGAAGAGTGTATTTTGCTCACACCTGATCAAATAATGCTAGTTGTGTATAAAGATATCTTTAAAGTAAATAATACCTGCTCTAAACCAGACCCAAAACAAGTTGTCCAAAGCTTAAGGGAATAATAGGTGATTTAATAAGATAGGATTTTGAAGTGAGAAATTCTTGAGATTAACTGTATCCTGAACTGAGCCCACACCCTGAGGAAGTGTTGAATGTGAAGTTGTCAATTGACAAAGGTAGAGAAGAACCCAGAAAGGAGGCAAGAGAAATACCCTGAGTTGAGTCAAACTCCATTGCTAGCCAAGTGGTGTGGCCCACACCCTTCCCAGATTTTAACCAGTAGGCCATGGAGCGAATATTGGCAGGCCAATAGCAAACGCGGAAGCTAGGGAGTGCCAGGCTCCCTTCAGTCTTAGGTTTCTGTAAATGCATCTTAGCTACTTGAGGTCTTTTACCCTCCAAATGTAGGAGGAAATTCTAGAATCAAGGGTTGTAAAGAAGGACTTAGGGATAAAGACTGGTAAAAATTGAAAAAGGGGAAAAAATAGGAAAAAAATGTATTTTAATCGAATTAATTCGACCGACCAGAGTTGTGTGGAAACACAATTTAAATTTAAACAATTAGCTTTTTTATTTCTAAAGCAAACAATTACTTCACGTGCCTGAAGTCAATTATATAATACTGTTGAAATCCTCACATGTCGTTGATTGGTCGGTCAAAAGTCGTGTCGTTGTTGGTGTGACTTTATTTTTGCCCCGCCCTTTCTGCCAAGCTCCTTCACGTTCATAAGCTGTGATTGGTTAAACACACGTCGATCAAATTCTCTTGCAGGGTTGGTTGCGGGGCGGCGGTTGTTGATGTATGTGTCAGAAGTCAGGTAATCGGCACAGAGAGCAGCTAGCAGGTAAGCAGACAGCAGCAGGCTGCGTTTTTACTACTTAATGCGATTAGCCACACTTCACAAGTAGCCCACTAACTGTACTCTGTGTGCTCTAAATGAGTTTGCGATTAAAAAAACATGAACGATTAGGGTGTTTCGCTCAGTGTTCGCCGTCTGCGGCTTTTTAGCCTTGGTAGTTTGTCTGACTGATTGTAGATAAGCTGAAACTCGTGAATGAGCAGCATGAATGGAGCCACTTATTTATAATTCAAACGAGAACTAGCCTCTTTTATACTCAGTGTTCATATCAACAAAGCAGGTGTTGGAGTGTGAGAGGACGTGGTGAGTGGGCTAACCTTCACTCAGTTCCTAATAATAACTGTAATATAGTTTTATTTATACCCGCAAGCTACTTCACTTGTATTTCCACAAAATAGAAACAATAAGTATTATATGTATGTATCTCTTAGATATTGCACATGTCGCTCCTGTTCAGTGGTAACATGCGCTCCTGGGGTGGAATAAATCATTCATTAATGTTGACAGCAATACTACAGGCTGCTGTAGTTTGTTTCAGCCTCCCCTTTGTCTTCCCAGGTAACGATGCAGTTCCTAGGGCGGCTGCTGGACACAGTCTCCTCTGTGTCGACCCTCTTCACCAACCCTTACCGGGTCCGAGAAGTGCCGCTGTCTGACTATGGAGGAGGAGGGAAAGTGAAATTGAAAGAGGAGGGTCGCATAGTTCTGTACAAGTACAGTCAGTCATGGGACTGTCTCCTTCTCTGCCCAGAGACACCAAATGTGGCTTTGAGGTCTGTGTTGATCACATCGATACACTGTCCTGTGTGTTCTGCAGACTCTGACATGGGTGTGAAAGTTCAGTGTCAGCTGCAAAAACATTTATTTTGCACCTTTAGTTGCTTTTATCAGCATAGTTGCTCATTTCATCCTGTGTCATCTTACTGGTTTACTGGTTTAGCCTACATCATCATTACTCAAACAGGCTAGTAACTATGACATCATCCATTATTTTTTTTTGCGAAACCCTGTTTTCAGCATTCAGTGGGAGGCATGCTGTTGGTTTTTGTGCACCAGAGTTGACCTTATGTAGACACAAAGAGGAAGTACTAAATCATAAACTAGTGCTAGCAATCTTGCTTAGGAAGTTGCATCTGTAAAGTACATGTATATTTGCTATTTAGTGCTAAGTAACATTTCAAGTAAAATGTTACAATTTCAGTCATAAAAATGAAAGCGGAGACTATCAGTCGGGATTATCTGGACAATCTGTTACCACTACAAAAAGCATATAGGTCCTGTCAGGTAATTCCATTACAAATGCCCCTAAAGTATCAAAGAACACAAACAAGCTGAGAGGTACAGGTTTGTTATTCCTATGAGCAGAGGTGAGGAGATCTCCTGTATTGTCACAATTGACAATCAGGGTAGCCTTACCCCTAACTTTAACCCTTAATAAGTCTTCACTTTAACTTGAACA